AAAGGGTCGCAACAGTCTCACGTGGAAATTGTTGTGAATACGCCAGTCATCAGGTAGGCGCAACTGGGCGGTCACCGGCGTCACCATTTTCATGATCTTGAATGGGCCACAGAAACGTGCTCGTAATTTCGTCGGTAGTGGCAGTCGTAAATTCTTGGTGTCCAACAGGACTAGTTGCCCTGCTGCCATTGTAATATCCCGTCGATGTAAATCCGCATATCGTTGGGCCGTAGCGTTCGCCTTGCGAATAAGTTCGACAGCTTTGTCTCGAGCAGTCTGTAATTCTTCGACGAACTGCTGTGATCGTGGTACTTGACTCTCAATGTTGGTGGAGACTGTTACTGTAGGGTCCATCCCGTAATTGAGGTAAAACGGGGAGTGATTAGTCGTAGCTGAGGGCGCGTTGTTGTAGGAAAATTCCAACATCGGAAGCACGTCCTCCCATTTTTTCCGGTCGGGGCAGTTTGTCCGACTTAGCTGCTCCATCGTTTGATTTGTCCTTTCAGTTTGGCCGTACGTTTGGGGATGATACGCGGATGAGAACTGCAGACGCGTGCCGTACCGAGCCCATGTGTCTTGCCAGAATTTCGACGTGAACTTCGGGTCTCGATCACTAATGATTGCTGCTGGTATCCCGTGTAGGCGAACAATGGTCGAGATGAACAGGCGCGCAGTTTCTTCGGCTGTGATGGTTGTACGACACGGTGCGAAATGCGCCATTTTCGTCAGACGGTTGACGACAACCAGAACTGCGTCGTTTTCACTGGGTCCGGCCAGTAGACCTGTGACAAAATCCATCATCACGTGTTGGCATGGGCGTTGAGGTGGCTCGAGGGGCTGCAACAGTCCTGTAGGTCGCTGGTGTGATGACTTCATTCGCTGGCAGATCGGACACGCGACCACGTAGCGCTGCACATCCGTCACCATATCTGGCCAGTAATAAAACCGCTGCAACGCCTTCAAAGTTTTATCAACCCCGAAATGTCCCGATAAATTCGAATCGTGGACTTCTTGAATTAGTAATTCGCGAAGTAGACGATAACTTGGGACCCAAATTCGATCCGTCTCGATTCGTACGTAGTAGGCGCCTTTCCGTCTAGTGACTGGGAGATGGCCGTCGTTTACGAAGAAGGGGTTAGTTGAATACCCATGGGTAAATAGTCCACTCAGGAGCGGGTTGCTCTGGGCGACTAGTACTGCTGCGACTTGGACAGATGGTCTGGAGAGGGCGTCGGCAGTATTGTTGGCGCCCTTTCTATACTTGATCTTGTACGTGAAGTTGGACTCCAGATAGTCCAACCAACGTACCTTCCGCGGGTTGAGATTCGGCTGCGCTCTCAGGTACTGTAGAGATTTATGATCGGTTCGCACCGTCACGTCTGCCCCAGTCAGGTAGCACCTCCAGATTTTGAACGCGTGGACAATCGCCAGCATCTCCTTGTCGTGTACCCGGTATTTGCGCTGGGCAGATTGCATTTTGCGCGACTCGTACGCGATTGGTTGAAGACCATTGCCAAAATCTTGCATGAGCACTACTCCGATAGCGATGTCACTTGCGTCGGTGATGACTTCGAAGGGCCGGTCTGGGTCAGTAATGCGAAGTACCGGTGGTGACATTAAAATATTGTTTAATGCCTCGAACGCAGCTTGCTGCTTCCCCCCCCGCTCGTAAAAATTCCCCTTCTGCAGTAGGTTGGTTAGAGGTACATTTAACCTCGCCATGTTGGGTATAAATCGCGGCACGTAATTCACGAAACCCAAAAATGATTGCAGCTGCTGCAGATGTCTTGGCGGTGTCCACTTTTGAATAGCCCGGAGTTTTTTTGGGTCTATTTGAATCCCCTCCGTGGAGATCACGTGCCCCAGGAACTCTAGTTCTTGTTTTAAAAACTCGCACTTAGATCCCTTTGTGATGAGACGATGGTGCTGCAGCCGTTGAAAAACCGCTCCCAGGTCCTTTAAATGTTGCTCGTGGGTCGTGCTGTAGATTAGGATGTCGTCCAGGTAAATGATCACACATTTGTCGAGTAGATTGCGGAACACCCCATTCATGGTGAGTTGGAACGTCGAGGGGGCGTTCGTTAATCCAAACGGCATCACCGTGTATTCGTAACTCCCGTAGCGAGTACGAAACGCGGTCTTGTGGCAGTCGTCAGCAAACACCCGAATTTGATAGTAACCGCCGCGAAGGTCGATCTTCGAAAAATAGCGAGCTCCGCGAAGGTTGTCAATCAGCTTGTCCGTGCGTGGAATTGGGTAGCGCGATTTTATCGTTACCCGATTAAGAGCTCGATAATCCGTACACATGCGAAGTCCGCCGTCCTTTTTTGGGGTGAACAGGATCAGTGCTGCGAACGGGGATGTGCTTGGTTGAATAAACCCCTTTGCCAGCAGGTAGTCCAGCTGGTTTCGTAATTCGTGTAGCTCCGGCTAAGTCAGGCGCCATTGCGTACGTACAATAGGCTGCGCGCCGGGCTCCAGCTCGATTTTGTGGTCCTGGGGTCGTTCGGGTGGCAGTCCACTTGGCAGGTCGTCCGGGAAAATTTCAAGATATTCCCGAATGATTTTTGCCAAGTCATCCGGAACCGAAGCGCAGAGTTTGTTGATGTCGGTCGCCTCGTTCTGCTCCGTCGATTCAGTTAGATGGACAGCGTATAAATCCGCTCCATTCTTGACCGCTCGGTTGAGGCATACAGCGTTGACCCGTGTCGATGTTGTCTCTGCTTCCGACCACGTGGGTAATTTTCGCCAGCCCTTGTCCCATTTCACTGTGCACTCGCCTGTTGTCCAATCGATCTGCGGGTTGAATCCTCGCAGCCAATTGCGTCCCAATAGTACATCGTAGCCGTCGAGTGTTGTCGCCAGCATCGGCGCGCTGAAACCGAAATCTTCGCCACATTTTATTCGAACGATGGGTACTTTGTCGCGTATCGCCAGCGGGGTGCCATCCACCAATCGCGCATCGATTTCGGGCAGACACCTCTCCAGCGTCAGGTGTAGTTGTCGTGCTGTCTCTCGATTTATCAGGCTGTGGCTCGCACCTCCGTCGATGAATATTTTTATTTTTCTTCCGTTGAGACGTCCCTCCGCCAGTACAGGGTGGTCCACTGGGTCATCCCCCTTATTCAGCCGAGAGCGGTTGATAGCGTATATCGGAACCACTACTCGGTGGGGATGGTGTTTTTCAGGCGATGAGGCAGGGTCAGTAGGGGGCCCGACCGCTACTGACGCTTGGCGTTTCCCGACCTGCCTTCGTCGTTCTTTTTTATCTGCTTCCTTTGGGGGCCATCGTGAGATTGGTGACCCGGCTGGTGGCAGTTGAAACATTGTCCCTTGCAAAAATCTTCCATGTGCTCCCTCGCCATTACGCCGTGAATCGTGAGCCGTGGATCCTGGCCACCAAAACGATTTCCCTCCGGGGAACCCGCTCTCGCATACGTCCGATATGCGTCGAAGTTGTCTGCGATCCGGACTGCTTCGTGAAACGTCGCCGGAAGTCGTAGTCAGACCTCACATTTTATGTCCTGCTTCAAGCCCGAAATGAATCGAGCTTTCTTCTCGGAGTCATGCATGTCGGTGATTTGATCGCATAACGCCATGAAGACCGACGCGTAATCTTGGACAGAACTCCACTGCCGCCAGTTGTCCGGCTTCGTACGTGCGTTGTCTGAGGCGGATATTGGCTCGAACCGTTCATGCAGAGTTGTACCCCACGCCTTCCACGTGCGAATCTTGGTCGATCCAAAAATCGCGGTTGACCCTTGGGCTGCAGACCCAAAGTTTCCGAAAAACCCCTGTGTGTCGCGTGCCGAAAACTCCCCTCGTGTAGTGTATATCGCCACCAATCTAGCGCAGGTCCCTGCAGTAATGATACAGCCAGCCGTATTTTTAAATCGTCAGCAGTGATCCCATCGGCATTAAAATACAGCTCCGCCGAAAATATCCAGCCCGTAACAGTAGTATTCTTATCTGTGGGGTTGAACGGGGGCGGCATTGTCGGTTTGATCGTCGCTGTCGTCACGATTGGCATAAACGCCGGTGCGGCTACAGTAGCAGCTGCTGCTGCTGCTGCTTCGGCTGCTGCTTGTGCTGCCACGTCAGCTGCGGCGGCGGCTTCACTGTCCTTGCGCTCTTGTGATACCTCACGTGCGATTTCGTCCAAAACGGTTTCGAAACGTCCGGTGCTGGCGACCTCTTCTTGGGCGGCAGTTTTCTGGCGCGAGTCCTCTCGCGCCTGGCGTAACTCGGCAACTTCTGCACGAAGCCGCTCGTTGTCCTCCATCACTGTAGCCATGCGTGTGTTCATGGCGTTGAACTGCTCCCGAAGCTCGTTGAACTGAGCTTGGTCCATTTGGCGAATGCTCCGCCGGGGCAAGGGGAAATCCGTAATGTGCTTGTACTCAGGTAAGCGCAAACGCTATCGTAGTTGGGCGAATTAATCAGTCTAATTTGCGAGCAACCGCTTTGCAGCTTACGTGAGGGACTTACCAACCCCAAAAAAAAATCAACTCACGAAAAATGGGTGAGCGAGGGAAGTGGCTCTGAATACCAGGTGTTATGAATGAATAAGCAGAGTAGCGCGGAAATGAGTAACAAAGTGTTCAATCACTGAATGACGATACAAGGAATGGCAAGCCAAGATATAGGAACACCAGTGCTAGTCTAACCATGCAATGGTAAGGTTCGGGAAAGAGATCGAAGGGTCTCGAAGTGACGAAGCGAGGCCCGGAGAACTCCCGAAGGTCGAACTAGCAGGTATGGAGAGGCTGAGGCGATTCTGTCAGAAAGGTCCGGAACAGTCCCGAGGCTTCGGGTGTGTTCGAGCGTACGCGGTAGCACTACTGCTCGGTAAGGAATGGAAAATTCCTTACAGTATTGCAGCTCTTGCTTCTGGGTACTGGGTTACCCATCGAGGTAGTTCATGGTAAATAATCTTGAAACACAATTTCTGCAATTTGGGTTAACAGCTTTAAAGCGAGAAGTTATAATTGTGAAGGCTGGCCCAACTTGAAAGAGGGCTCCCTCTGAGCGACTCAAGTTGGAAACCAGCTTCAACAAATAACTGTTCCAAAATGGCAGGGGTAGGCAGATCGGAATTTCAGCTCAAAGCTGATTGGGTCCCGCCAAAATGTTGATCGCAGGGCGAAATGCGCGACACGCAAATCTGAAAACGAATCCTTGTCAGGGGTCGCACTTTTCGATGCGACACTTGCACGGCGAGTGCAAGCAACGAGTTGGGGCTTTCGGATCGAGATGGGCCCAACTCATTTTTCAAGTTGGGCCTGTGTTCACAATTGCCGAGGATTCACCACCTTCCCCACGCAAAGCGACATCCAGCTAGCAAAAAATCGCCGAGAAAGCAAGCTAGTTCCGCTAGCTGCCCCACCGCATAGATCTTGGTGCCGATAGAGCTGTGAGAGAGAGTGTGGCGCTGCGGGAGAGATAGAGAGGGAGAGACGCGGGGAGAGAGGGAGAGACGCGGTGAGAAAGGGTGAGACGCGGCGATAGAGAGAGAGAGAGAGAGAGAGAGAGAGAGAGAGAGAGAGAGAGAGAGAGAGAGAGAGAGAGAGAGAGAGAGAGAGAGAGAGAGAGAGAGAGAGAGAGAGAGAGAGAGAGACGCGGGGAGAGGGAGAAACGCGGGCGAGAGAGGGAGAGAGAGGGAGACGCGGCATGAGCGGAAGAGACGAGGAAGCGGGGAGAGAGGGAGAAACGCGGCGAGAGAAGGAGAGACGTGGGCGAGATACGGAGAAACGCGGGCGAAATACGGAGAAACGAGGGCGAGAGAGGGAGAGAAAGGGAGACGCGGCGTGAGCGGGAGAGATGAGGCCAGAGATGGAGAGACGTGGCGACAGAGGGAGAGACGCGGGGAGAAAGGGTGAGACGCGGCGAGAGAGAGAGAGACTCGGGGAGAGAGGGAGAAACGCGGCGAGAGCGGGAGAGTCGTGGGCGAGAGAGGAAGAAACACGGGCGAGATACGGAGAAACGCGGGCGAGATACGGAGAAACACGGGCGAGAGAGGGAGACGTGGCGTCAGCGGGAGAGACGAGGCCAGAGATGGAGAGACGCGGGGAGAAAGGGTGAGAAGCAGCGATAGAGAGAGAGACGCGGACGAGATAGGGAGAAACGCGGGCGAGAGAGAGAGAGAGAGAGACGCGGGCGAGATACGGAGAAACACGGGCGAGAGAGGGAGAGAGAGGGAGACGTGGCGTCAGCGGGAGAGACGAGGCCAGAGATGGAGAGACGCGGGGAGAAAGGGTGAGACGCAGCGATAGAGAGAGAGACGCGGGCGAGATAGGGAGAAACGCGGGCGAGAGAGGGAGAGACGCGGGGAGAAAGGGTGAGAGACGCGGTGAGAGAGAGAGAGAGAGAGAGAGAGAGAGAGAGAGAGAGAGAGAGAGAGAGAGAGAGAGAGAGAGAGAGAGAGAGAGAGAGAGGCATCGTTAGCGGTAGAGGCGCGGTGAGAGAGTGGGGGAGTGACGCGGCATGGAAGAGAGTGGCGCGGTTAGAAGGAGAGAGGCGGAGGTGAGAATAGGGAGAGAGTGGCGCAGCGGGAGAGAGAGAGAGAGAGAGAGAGAGAGAGAGAGAGAGAGAGAGAGAGAGAGAGAGAGAGAGAGAGAGAGAGAGAGAGAGAGAGAGGAGGAGGAGCGAGCGTCTCGCCATGCCACTCCCTTCCCGCTGCGCCACACTCGCTCGCCCCTCGCTCCCGCCATATCTCCCTCTCTCCACACCTCTCGCATGTATCTGTCCCCACTCATGTATGATCACATGCCCTCGATTTTTGCATTCGCTCGCTCACTCTCTCTTTCTCTGATATCTTGCACTCAGTCTTCGGTGAAATGTTTCGCTTTGCAGGGCTTGGAAGTGACATCTGACGAGGAAGGGTGTGCCTTGGCTTCCAAAATTTAGATCCGCAGCTAGTTTTGTCGCAGCGTAGCGAGTGATTGTGTTATGCGACAATCAGGCAAAATGTCAGTTGGTAATCTTTTCGCCAAGGATCGGCCATGTAAGAATTGTTGGGGAAAAAAAAAACACGCCTCCCAAGGTTCCAACCAATACACTCTTGATCCGAACCATTTCGAGTTGGGTCCAACTCGAAGTGGGGGTCATTATTATAGCTTCTTGCTTTAAAGCCGTTGACCCAAAACGTACAAGATTCATAAAGATGAACCAGGCAAGAAGCTGAGCTGGAGAACGGACACGGGCGTGGAGGAGTGGTGTGAGGGTGGCGAGAGTGGGCGAACACAGCACACTACGAAAACCAATCAGAACGAGCACACAAATTATGACAGAACCGAAACGTTCGCAAACAACGACTGGGGGAAATCGAGGGTGGGGAGAAGGAAAGTGGGGGCGCGCGCAAGGTGCAGGGGGGAGTGGGGGAAGAATACCTGGTCAGAGCGGCGCACGGCACAGCCTGGAACACTGGAAACAGCGGGAAGGAAGGGCACGTGACTCTGGGTTGCGCATCCTGGCCGAGTTGCGCAACTCGCTTGGAATCGCCAAGCAACTCGACTTGCGCATATCAGGGCGTGGTACACCTCATATCACGAGTATGTCTTCAAACTGAAATTCGAACAGTTGATGTGGTTGTAGACGTTTAGACTGTTTTCGACGCGATCAAGAAGGCTCGATAATATTTTTTTTTTGCGAGTTCAAGTCGCGTACCTCACTTGAAACGATTTGTACCGCGCCCTAGTAAAAACTGGCGTGTGCTGTGCATGGTGCTTTCGCTGCCTAGGGCGTAGTGGCGCTGGGCTGGGTTTGCACTCCGAAAAGTCCCAAAATGTATGGGGGGAAGTTCAAGTTTCTTTCCGCTCAAATGCCTGGTGTGGCGGGGGCAGGGGCTAATCAGTTGGGGGTGGCGCAAGATTATAGACTGTTTCCCATCGTTTTGTTGCGCAACTTTCGTTTTTGCTCTCGCTCTGGGGAACTGGGTTACCAATCGGGGGGTTTCAAGATTAATAAACTTGAAAGGCAATTTCTGCTATTTGGGTTAACGGCTTTAAGAAGCTTAGAACAGCCTCCTTCGAAAACCTATAATACCAGAGTTTCCCACACCGTGCCTTCAAATCGGGTTTCTCTCCGAGCGGTCATGATTTCTGTAAATACTAGTCAAGTACCCCCGAAACATAAGGCAAGCTGAGAGCGATACAAAGTTTGTGTTCGGATCGCTCGCATGAATTCGCTGCAACAATCGCGTCGTCAAATCAAAACCGCCTGCAAATGAAACAAGCTCGCTGTAAATCTGCCCAACTCCCAAACAAATCACTCATCCAATCAAATTGAGTTCCGTGACTTGTTGATTCAAATCCCCCTCGATATTTGAAAGTTGGGGGGAGCGGGTGGAACTTTCTAGGTTTGCATTTCACAAACGTCAGCGAGTTCTACAGCGGGCTGCCGTGGCGTGGCGGCGAACCCAGCGCCACCGTCGTTTGGACCCACCGCACCGCACGGCCCCACCGCTGCTAGGCGTACCCTGCGCCTCGCAACAATCACAACCTGAAATGCTGAAGGCCCCATCGCCTGGTTGCACATCGACTTTTCGTGCGTTGAATGAAAACTGTCGTTGGGCTTGATACTGTATTGCTGCTGCTGGACTTGTTCCCGTTCCCGCACGCATGAACGTGATGGCAACTAGATATTTTTGGCCAGCAAAATTCGTCGTCTAGAAAGATCTCCGCTCATATGGGCAATCAACCCAGCCAGACCAAACGACTACAGTAGCGTCCTGATTCGTCACCCGGGTCTACCCTTGTCTCTGTACACGTGTAATTTCGAAAGAATTCCCTTATTTTCAGACCAGACAGACTGTAAAATACTTGTACTGAACTGTCTGGTCACTCGCTGGGCCAGTGGAAATCTCTCGTTGACTCGAACGAATGATTTTTCCCCTCGTTTACCCTCTTCGTTGCCCCATCCGCACGCACACTCCCCAACGTGATCGGACCCGTCGGAACTGCCCAGGGAAACCTACTCGGTCGGTGAGACTTGGTGGTCATCGTGGCTTTGTTCCTCCTTAGGGCAGCGGGCACGTTTGGGTTGCTGCTGTGCGAGTCGTCGTTTGTAAGCACCACACTCGCCGACCTCGCAACGCAACCCCCTTGCTCTGCTCTGCTCCTCCCACCCTTCCAGCACACCCAAACCAGCCCGTGCGCGCCAAAGGGGAACACAACGGAAGGAGCCAGGGAGGGGAGGGAGGGGAGCGGGGGGCACTGGGGGTTGACTGAGGGGGGCCGGCCGACGAGACGATGAGCCGAGCTAGCTGCTCCCTTTCCCCCCCCCCCCCCCCCCAAGTCCAATCCACAACCCATTGAGGGCGACGAACTCACGAAGTGCTAGCTGGTTCCCAAGAAGTGTCTGCAAGGAAACGTGCGGACCAAGGCCCAGTCAGAACTCAGGACCCAGGAAGGGACGTTTGACGAGTCACGAGTCATGAGTCACGGCCCAGGTTTCTGTGGAAATATCTGCCCCACTTTGCTCGGCTGGCGTCGCGGCTCGCGACTCCGTCACGAACAGCTGGAGCTACAGAACTGTACAGGACAGCCCCAGCAGAGCTCCTTGACACGCTTTCCCCCACCACAGCGCCCCCATCCCACCCATCCCCACTCCCAGCGCCCAATTTCCAAACCAACCAAGCCCCCTCTCAGCTCCTGCCATCTCTCTCGACTCGAACACAGCTGCGCCCCTCGTTTCGTTTTGCATATTGCGCCCCTCTTGTCACATTTTGCCACATGGCAATTCTCATTTCGCGCCCCTCTAGCTCCTACCGCACAGCCCAATAATGCTCTATCCGTAGCTGACACAGCCATATCAGCAGCAACACGCAACCTTCATCTGTCCTGACGGTAACTTGTCTTCCACGCAAATTCCGAAATCGCTCTTCTTTAAAAAGGCTCCCCCTCTACTATTTTCGCCATGGCTTCCACGCGCACGATGACGGCGAGCGCCGCGACTTATTCAAAGAGGCCTGCGGATCAAACACCCGCTCGCGAAGCCCGCGATGTCGAAGGCGGCGGCGGCGGCGGCGGCGGCGGCGACGGCGAGCGGAGCCTGACGTTGTACAAGCGGCAGAGGCTCGAAACGCGCGCCGGTTACCGCACTACCACAACCAATACTACTGCTACAAACGCAACTAATGCAAATGTTACTACTCGTGGCGACGAACCAGCAACTTCGCGGCAAGAACGCCAGACCCAACAGATGCAGCAGCTTCTCCGAGGCGTGCTCGCCGACGTGTCGTTCTCTCCGCACTTCACGCCAGCTGCACAGGCGCCGCCGTCAGCAGCAGCGGCAGCAGCAGCGGCAGCGCCCCAGAACGAGCGAGTCACACCGCACGAGTGGCAGCAGCTAGACCACGCGGCAGCGCCAGCGGCGGCATTGGAGGCGGCGTCTTTTCAGAGTCTGCTCGTCGCGCGCCTTAAGCACCACTCGGGGGAGCTGCTCCGCATGAACGGGATTGCGCGGCAGCGGTTGCGCCAACTGGCAGAGAAAACACGGCGGCTGGACGAAGTCCGCCGGGACGTCGGCGCCGCCGTCGCTGCGCTCCGCCGCCGCGGGGCCGCCGCAGGCCTTGATACCGCGCGCGTGGTGGAAGACTCGTATATGGAAGACGGAGGCGATAAGAGCGGCGTGTTTGACGCCGCGAATGGCGCAAATGCCAGGCCACAGAGCCCACGACCGAACGCGCGAGAGGCTGGGGGTTGCGCCCATCCCGACGAGGACGACGCGGACAGCACGGAACGGCGGCAGAGCGCTGGCCCCGCCGTTCCCGCCGGTTCCGCGGGTGCTCAGCAGGCAGGCGGAATGACAAGGGCGCGGGCAGCACAGAACCAGGCGAATACTCATCTTCTCGGCGCTCGGTTGGCGGACGAAGAGGAGAAATGGGCCGAAGAAGACTCCCATGATGACGACACGCGCAGCACTACTGGCGCGAGCAGCAGCAGCAGCGGCAGTGTGACGGGCCCTCGTCGCCGTGGCGCTAGCTGCGCCTCGGTCGCGCTGCTGCCGCTTATGGGTGGGGGGGCTGCGTGCGACGGGGGGAGTCCAGGCGGGCGATGCAGCTGCGACGCGCGCGACGACGGCGCTTGGATTGGTGGACGACGGAGAAGCGTGGGTGACACGCGCGTTCGAGTTGCGGAGGGGGGCCGCGGCGCGAGGTGCTCTTGGCTGCAGTGCTGACGCTGGGTTGAGGCAGCCACCAGCTGGAGTGCAAGGCGGTGCTGAGTTGAAGCAGGTGCTGTTCTTCAGTGGCTGTTGTCAACGAGGTGTTACGCGGTGCTGTACAGTGCAGAAAGATACGAAGAGCAAGGCAGAAGTACGATAATTGTACGTGTACCCAAGTTACGTGGGTTTTCCTTCGGCCCGGTTCATAATCATGAGCTTGCCTAGGAGATTATTATTGGGCTACTTCTTTCGCTGCTTTTAAATTGTTCGAGGATTCCATCAACTTATCCATGCTTCTGCGTTTGCTGTTAACACTAAATGTTTAAAAAATGTGTGCATCTAATTAGACAAACACAAAAGCTGGGTGGTCCCTTTATTTAACAGCATGTCCACAGATTCCCAGCTCTAATAACCAAACAACCATACTAGTACCAACCAAACCAAAGCCTTCATTCGTTGTATTGTCCCATATCCAGGCCAGCACACATACACTAACTTCCCAACAGCATCATCATGGTTACTGTGCTTACTTTCTGCTACTGTGACTTCTCCCATTGTTGCTGCTGGAGCCATTGCCCCCATGAGCTCCTCCTCCCCCTGCCCCTCCTCCCACGAGCTTGGAGAGCAGGAAGAGGCAGCCAGCAGCGAAGCACACGGAGGCGGAGAAGAAGAGGAGGTCGAGCGCGGAGGATACGGGCACCTTCTTGCTCTTCTCGAACATGCCCACCAGCAGGATCATCACGATCACGTGGCCCAGCTTCGTCTTCATCTCGTCCAGCGAGTGGATCTCCAGCCACTTGGGGCGCGCCTGGGGTGCAGGGGGGACGGGTGCAGTGGGAGAAGGGCGTGGGAAGGGGGGGATGGATGAAGGGGGTGTCTTTTTAAGTGGGCTGCGGAAGTCTCGAGGCCCGGCTTCGCCTTCATCTCGTCCAGCGAGTGGATCTCCAGCCACTTGGGGAGCGTGCCTGGGGGATGGATGGGGGCAGTGTGGCGAGGGAGAAAGGGGCGAAGCAGGAGAAGGACGTGGAGTGGAGAGGGAGGAATGAACGGCGGAGATGAATCTTGAGTCTCTTGAGTGGACTCCAAGTCTTGTGACCCGGCTTTGTCTCCATCTCGTCCCACGACTTGCGTCCATCTCTCCATGAGTGGGCCTCCAGCCACTTGGGGCACGCCTGGGGGGAAGCCGCGGCGGGCAATGGGACGGGATACAGTGGGAAGGAGCGAGTGAGACGGACCAGCAGCGCAGTGGGATGCCTGCCCCATGGATGCGACCTGGACGCCCATTGGTGCGGACTGGACACCCCTGGGTACGGGCAGTGGGGATATTATTCAATAGCATGCAGCGTCAGGGGATGGTCTCACAGACACACACATAATGCGAGCGGTGTGACATACTTTGTATCAAAATGACCCCAGGCCTACAGCAGCAGAAGCCAAGCAGCAGCGGCGCACGTGCCTAACCATGCCTGACCTTGAGGCGGAAGAGCCCGAAGAGGCAGGAGCCACAGATCCGCTGGGTACGGGTCCGGTTTTGAGGCGTCTCAAGACTCAATGATCATCACATGCTTTATTAACTTTTGAGGCGTCTCAAGACTCGATGATCATCACACGATTTATTAACTTCTGAGGCGTCTCAGGGTCTGACCTTGAGGCGGAAGAGTCCAAAGAGGCTGGAGCCGCAGATGCGCTGGGAGAGGTCCGCGTGTGCTTCGGGGGAGAGGGAGGAGGTGTCGCGGGGCACTTCGAGCGAGTTGACAAAGAGCTCGTACAGCCCGATGCCGAAGATGAGCATCACCGTGCCGATCAGATACACGTCTGGGGTGGGAAAGATGGGGGAAAGGAGAGGGAGGGGGAGGGGGAGGGGGGGGGGACAGGAACGGGTGGAGGAAGGGGGAGTTTTGAGGGCGATTCTGAGAGTACAGCCCGATGCCGAAGATGAGCATCACCGTGCTGATCGGATAGTCGTCTGGGATGGGGGAGGTGGGTGGAGGAAGGAAAGCTTGTTGGGGAGTCTCGAGAGTAGACTCTGATGCCGAAGATGTGCATCGCCGCGCCGATCAGATATACATCTGGGGTCCGGTGGTGGGGGGAAGCGGAGGGGAAAGGGACGGGGAGAGGAAAGGGGAGAGGAACGGGTGGAGAAAGGGGAGGTTTTGAAAGCAACTGGAGAATACAGCCTGGTGCTGGAGGTTTAGCGACTGCCCACATGGCGGAAGGAGCTTGAGGGCTGGTACGGCATTGCAGCAGCGAGAGAAGTAAAGAGCAGAAAGAGGGCACGTCTGGAGGCAAAAGGCTGAGATGAGAGAGCAGCAAAAGGCAGCTTCCACTGATGAAGCCTCTACTGTATCTTCCCCCTCCCGTGTTCCTCCTTCCCCACTCACGCTCTTGGTCTCGCCCTTTCGCTTGCAAAATCACGATGCCCGTGCCTCCTTCCTTGATAAAGCGCCGACTGTATCCTCCCCCTTCGGTATTCCGCTTTCTGTGCCCTCCCTTCCCACCCCTTCCCACCCCTTCCCACCCCTTCCCACCCCTTCCCCAGTCACGCTCTCCATGTCGCCCTTTCACTCGTACATTCACCATGCTTTGCCCATGACATGTGAGTGGCATTGTCTTATCACCACGCGTGGCACTCACCCACGGCCTCCACGAGCAGCAGAATGACCTTCCCCGTGCCGACGCCATTCCAGCAGAAGAGCGCAAACTCCTTCATCGACTGCGCCACAAAGATGCACCCCTGGGTTGCCGTTTGGGTAGGAAGAAGGTCGGGAGAGGAGAGGGGGGAGAGAGGGGGCTAGAAAAGAGAAGATGAATAGAGCATCTTGAATGTGCGAAAACCACCAAGGATTGGACGGCACGCACGAGGGCACACCACATTCGGTATACCCTCAACGCTGTATAAGACTAGAGAAAGTCTTGCAACACCTCACATACCCTCAGTCCCCCTCTCACTCTGCCCTCTCACATGCCGCCCTCTCACATGCCCTCTCACATGCCCTCTCACATGCCCTCTCACATGCCCTCTCACATGCCCTCTCACATGCCCTCTCACATGCCCTCTCACATGCCCTCTCACATGCCCTCTCACATGCCCTCTCACATGCCCTCTCACATGCCCTCTCACATGCCCTCTCACATGCCCTCTCACATGCCCTCTCACATGCCCTCTCACATGCCCTCTCACATGCCCTCTCACATGCCCTCTCACATGCCCTCTCACATGCCCTCTCACATGCCCTCTCACATGCCCTCTCACATGCCCTCTCACATGCCCTCTCACATGCCCTCTCACATGCCCTCTCACATGCCCTCTCACATGCCCTCTCACTCTGCCCTCTCACATGCCCTCTCACTCTGCCCTCTCACATGCGCTCTCACATGCCCCCACCCCTCTCTCCACAGGCCCGCCTTTCGCCCATCCCGTGAAGGAGCGTCAACTCGAGAGCGACCTCACCTCACCTCATCCTCGCTCCTCCCGCGCCGGCCTGTCGACCAGCCGGCCTTTTGACCAGCCGGCCTTTCGACCAGCCGGCCTTTCGACCAGCCGGCCAGTCGCCCAGCCGGCCTTTCGACCAGCCCGCCTGTCGACCAGCCGGCTCGGCGCACTGACCTTGGTGAAGCAGAGCGCCGAGCCGATGAGCGAGCCGACCACGGCCATGAGCGTGAAGAAGCGGAAATTGAAGATGGTCTGCCAGGGGGCGGCAGGGGGTGGCAGGGGGTGGCAGGGGGTGGCAGAGAATGGCAGGGAATGGCAGGTCACGGAAGGGGAGGGAAACATAGTGGAAGGCAAAGAACGTTAACGGATGGAGGCACAGGCCAGCCGAGGAGACAAACAGCCACGGATGCCTTGGCACACTCTGGCATACAGGAGCACACGCCGGCAGTCAGACAGACAGGTGGGCGGGCGGGCGGGCGGGCGGGCGGGCAGGCAAGCAGGCAGGCACACAAATCCAGCGGAAAATCAGATTAAAAGATTGCCCACCCTCTCTATGACGTCTTCCAGGGACCGCACGCGCCTCGCCCGTGTCACGCTGTCGCGCTCCGCTGCGCCATCCGCGTTAGTAGAGTCGCTACTGCTCGTTGCAGTAGCAGTGGAAGCAGCGACCTCAGAGCAGTCGAATTCGCCGCCGCCCGACGACGAATTCCACGCCTCCGCACTCGCGCCCGGACTCGCTGCAGCGGAAGCCGCCACGGGGGCCCCCGCTGCCAGGATCGTACCGCGACCCCGGCCCCGACCTCTATCCCCGCTGCCATGAAGGCGAACGCCGGAGCCAGGATAATTCCTTAATACTCCTTTCCCCTGCAGCGCGTGCGCTCCGTCATCGTCCCCTAAGAGCCTCGACGAGGCGAAAACGTCCGCGCTCCCACACGTTCTCAAAAGGCCGACACTCTTCTTGGGAGCTGACATGCCGCTCGCCGCGCGCGAATGCGCAGCGATTGTTGGGGTTTTAGAGGAGAGGGGCATCTTACACGCGTGTGGACGTGTGAGGCTCACGCGTGTTTGGTCCAGCGCGGCAGAAGAGGGTGAAGTAGGTTTAGACGATGCGCGGTGATCTGATACTACCCAGTGTGTGGACAGCTTGTTGACCGCGTACACCATGGCTGCGCTCTGTCTTGAGTTTGATAGAAATACGTGAAATGTGCGCAGGTGCAGAGCACAACAGTAAGGCTAAGGGGCGATTATACTCGATAAACAAATCCGCATCGTAAGCTATGGGCGTGGCCTAAATACTTGCATTCCTGACAGCACAAGGTCTACCTGACGGAGGTCTCTCGTTGTCATGCAACAAGCAACGCCATGCTTTTCTCATGCCTTCCCGCTTCAGTTGGCAGGAAACGCGAGGAACGGGAATAGAATTCAGGTCGGGAGAGTTGGGACTCGGGGCTGGGGCGACGAGAGGCGAGGAGTTGCAACGAGTGGTGGGGTCTGGTTCAGAGGTTTCCAGTAAAGTATAGTTTGGTGGAGTAAGGGCCTAGCACATTGCGTCCGTTTCAGAGGGTCGCGGCTGGAACATCGTATTTCCATTTTTTTGCGAGATCGTTTCTGACGCATTAGAACTGATCTTCAATAACGGACTGGTACGCGAAACAATAAAGTTCCAGAATTGCAGCTTTCAGTTTGCAGGATCAGTTTGCAGCATGGCAGCGTGACATTTCGCACGGTTTTCGTGCAGACCCAGCAACCAGCACTCGAAACTCGCTCTTTCGACAATACTCTTGTACGCGGCACGAGCCAAAACCATTGGCGAGTTGGCGAAGAGCTTGAGGTTTCGTGACATTTGGGGTGCTACGATCTGGTACTTTGGCACGTAGGATCGAAAGTGAGTCGTACGTGATATCGTTTTGCGGGATTGTTTCGGAAGTGATCCTCTCCTCCGATCTGGTACCTGACTATTTTGAGCCTACTGTAGTGTGCTGGTTACCCGTTTTCAACATTGCGAGTTCGCAAAACGATCGTCGAACCGGACGCATTGTTCCATTGAAGTGGAGCAGGGTGGAGTGGAGCGGCTCCACCCGGTGGTGGTAATGCAAGACAATTCAGTGGAAAGCAATGCACCACCCGCGCAAACAAGCGCTGACCGCGCGAATCGTGAATCGTGTGATTCTCCTCGCGAGAATCGCACAGGAGAATTTGTGCCGAGCAGGGGAAGCATCTCCCCCCCGAGATGGGGGAGCTTTCTCGAGAACTGCACGTGAAGGACACTCCCTTCGCTAGGCTGTAGGGCCGAGTTCATTCCCGTTGGCCGGAAAGATGCTGGCTGACATGTGGACACTCTCTACCAGCCACGTGGGATTTTCATTTACCTACACGTGGCAATAAGAGGGACTGGCTATCAAGTAACGTGGTTGGGGGTTTAGCTGGTCTATTACTTCAGATACGGACATTTGTAAGTACAACAGATACAGTGCAACCCTTCAATGAGAATACAATATTCATATACTATTATGTGGCACAAACAATGAGAATTGGGTAGCGATGTATCAAAATCGATAGAGCTATATTTTTAGTACAGAACTAGTCCTTGATGTAACTAGGAATGCAACACAAGACCAATATCGACAGACCCGAGAGACGCGACAAGCACGGAACTGCAAAGCTTACAAATGGCCCTCTTACGCAGAAAAGAACTTTCTGAGTGTTTGATTTTCAGACAATTTTTTTCTAATTTGTCAGTTTTTTCGGCCTGAGTGAATGAAAACGGCTCAAGCAAGGACAAGGCCGAGTTTGTATTTATATGTGGTACTCTGTAATCTGTACATAGCTAGGCTATAGTTCATATCAGGGCTCTTGCTATGATTTTGGGTCGTCTGAAAATCAGACGACCAGAGACATGCTCGTCTGCAGGGCTCCTGTTAGTTTTTTGGGCAGTCTGTAAATCAGACAGGTTCGTAGAGCTTCGTCTGACCGTCAGACGGATTTTTTTTTGCATGTCTTACGATTCCGACGAAATGCAAACACGTGTCAGAGAATTCAGACTGTTTATGTGTGCTGGACTGTTTTGTCAAATGTAACATAGGTGGTTACTGTAGACTATACTGGATTGTGCCTTAGAGGGTACAACACCCTAGTCTATATACCGCTGTATCTTTCTATTCTAGTCATATTACTCATTTTGATATGTTTTGTTGCCGCGCTCGGGGTAGAATTGATTGCGCGTGCTGTGGTGCACATGGGACCGGGTGGCAGGCAGTGGCCCAGTGGGCATGAGGACTAGTGGCCTTGCTGCTAGAACGGTGGGTTTGTCGGTATCAGACGGAGAAAAACGGCCGGTGCCGCTGTGCAGCTGAGTCCCTGTCTCGCCGTGCAGCTAAGTCCCTGTGCTGCTGTGTCCCTGTGCCGCTGTGACCCGGTGCCACTGCGGTTGCGCGATAGTTGACCCCACCACTGCTGAGAGTGAGGCATTTGCTGGTGCTGCACTCGCTCGCGTCGTCTGGGATTCTCGCGATGCTGTAGCGAAGCTTGACATTAATCATGCGCTTCCCCTTTCTGAGCGTCCGCGCTTCACTGCTGTAGCAAATGCCTAAGACTTCTTAGATGCAGTAGTTGCACGCTACTCCATGCCTGCCTCCGCCTCGGCTGGCCGCTTTATCCTCCCCATGCTCTTCCCCGATCTCTCTGCTTTCCCCACTATCGCTGATCTCGCCACTCACCTACATACGTACAATAGAGACTAGCTACCGTGCTGCAAGCACTGCTGCTCAGCTCACTGCCTTCCCCCCCTCGTTTTGTGCTAACCTGTGTCTTATTGCCATGCGCCTCCCTGACCGCTTAGCCACTGCCCGTGACCACTTCCTTAGCCAGCACCCTGGTGACCTCACCCTGACCGCTTTTATCGCAGCCCTTTCTGAGATAGAGACTCGTCAGCGCACTATGGCACAGTCTAGCAGTGTTCTGGCAGTCCCTATCTTTCAGGACTGTGCTCCCTCCTAGTACACGTACGCGGATGTTTCTGTTGTGATCGCTACACCTGCTCCTGCCCCTGAGACCGCAGCGACGGCCTTCCCGCAGCAGCAGCAACAGCGTCGAGGCCGTCGCGGCCCCAAGGGAGGGCGTTGTGGTAGTGGTGGCGGCGACAGTGGTTCTGACGAGGGGGCTGGGGAAGTTGTCCAGGAGCAGCAGACGCTTTAGTCCCAGCAGCAGCCGCAGCAGCCACCGTAGTAGCAGCAGCAGCAGCAGTAGCCGTGGGCCCGCCTCCCGCCGGGGTGGTTGGGAGCCCCTAGAGGGGATGGCCGAGGTGGCGGTCCTCGCAGCTCGGCGTCTGCCGGCGGCTTTGGTGCTGTGGGCTGCCAGTATCAGCTCTAGACCGGGCCCCTTCATAGCACTGTGTGCCGCCGTTCGCACTCGACCGCCCGCTGCTTCTGCCGCCTTGACGACCTCTTTCGTCGCCGCTTCAGCCCGGCCCCAGACCTCCCTGACTGGCCCAGTCTGCTGCGCCATGGTGTGCCTGTTTTTGACTTCGACATGGATCAGTTTACTTTTGCCTTGCATTCTCTGTATGCTGGCGCTTCTAGTGTGTCCGGATCTTACTACCTTGTGTTATCTAGCTTAGGCATAGCGCCTGTGTGTAGTACAGAGACCCCTGCTACGTCAGGAGTAGGACCGTTTGCTTTCTCTAGTCTAGGCTCCACACTCGCTCCTCCTTCGTCTGACGCTACTGCTTAGCTATCCGTTCACACTTGGCTCTGGTGCGTCTGCCTACTTCTTCCGCGACCACGCTACGCTTATACAAATTGCCGCGCCTGCCGCTGTCACAGTTGGTGACCCCTCCTCTGATCCTGTAGTTGCTCGCAGCTACACTACCCTTCCCTGTCTAGCGGTCCCCTCGGGTTCTCTTACAGGCCTGCACATCCTCTTGTTCTCTTGGAACTTAGTTGGTGTCGGCTGTCTTCAGGACCTCGGCATCACCACTACGTTCCTGGGTTACGAGCTGTACCGAGGCTGCCTCAGGTGCCCCCCTTGCGACGTTCCCCAGGGACCCGGTGTCTAGCCTCTACGTCGGACACTGCTTCCCCCCCGAGTGGGGCGTCTTCCCCAGGTCCTGCGTCTACCCAGGTCGCCGCTACATGCTCGTGACGGTCGCTCACCCACCCGTCACTTCCGTGGCACCACCGCCTAGGTCACCTCGCGTTCCCGCGTCTGTGTCACATGTCCCACCACGGTCTCGTCCTAGGTCTCCCTGCACCACTTCCTGCCCTCCCTCCCTCGCCTGCGCCGCCATGCACGCCCTGCGTCAATGGCTGGCTCCGCCGTGCTCCTCACTCCTCCTTGCTTCGTCCTGCCACCGCACCCCTCCAGACCCTGCACCTGGACGTCTGGGGCTCAGCCCCCGTCCCTGGACCGCGTCGCGAGCGCTATTTTCTAGTGCTCGTTAACGACTACAAGCGCTACACCACGGTGTTTCCCTTGGAGCGGAAGGCCAACGTGCCCGACGTTCTTATCCCATGGGTCGTAGCTTGCACCTCCATTGCGGTCTCCCTGTGCTCTATCTCCGCTTCGACCGTGGCGGCGAGTTCGCCTATGGTCGGCTTGGACAGTTCTGTCGTGCGGAGGGCATCACCCGGTCGTACACCTTACCGGACTCTCCGCAGCAGAATAGGGCCGCTGAGCGGCGCATCGGCTTGGTCATGGAGGTGGCTCGTACCTCCATGAATCATGCCGGTGCACCCTATTTTTTGTGGCCGTTCGCCGCTCGCTACGCCACTCACTAGCTTCCAATTCCCTCAGAAACTTGAGATACACAATCATGTGCTTCCTACACCTTCGATCGATGCTCTCATCGAGTTGAATGCCGAGGAAGGGACTTTCTCGGATTTGTTTGAGTTGCTTCGCCTTCAGGTACCCAACCATGGTCTCAACCTTCTGTTGGAATCCGTACCTACCAAAAGCCAACAGCATAGCATTAGAGAGAGCACACAACAAACATGGACGACAAATATTGTGCATAAACAAAGCAACGAAGCAGGTTCTAAGGAATCTAAAAGAAATATGCTATGAGTAGTAGGTCCCGTTCTCCTTCAGGGGCATGTCTGGCGTCCCGAGCTGGGCCATGAATTGTACAAGTAAGACAAAAAGAACGATGGGTGCGTCACACTTGCAGTGCGTCAGACGATAGCCATCAACCGATTCAGCCGCCACGCGCCGTCATCCCTGTTCTCGAACTCGATGATGGACTTCTGCTTTTTCATTTTGCCATCCCGATGCGCCTTTGCCACCATCGCCGCTTCGTGCTTGCAGCTGTGGTGGTGCTTCCTCATCGTTTGTTTCTCGATGACAATACCAAACAGGACCGCCTGAGATCTGAACCGTGGCGCACACAGTGCCAGCCACAGTCGGACGGG